TTGCTGGTGTGCTTGTCTTACATTGGAAAACAATAATCTCTTGGTTCTTTGTTCATACCCAGTGATCTCGCTCTGCCTCCCACAGGTCCGAGCGGAGAATGAAGACATCGTTGTAACTTTTGTATTTGTGTTCATTCGTAATGCTGTTAGAGAAATGAAAAGCAAAATTCAAAGTTATTGATGTTACAGTGTTTAAATGTAAGCCACAAACTGATAACAGCCTCCGGTTCAAGGACTGTTTTGTTGAATGTCAATGTGTGAATATGTTGGCAATATGCGTTGTCGACTTCCCAGGTAGGGGTGCAATGTGTAAGAAAGAAATTTCAGACTGTGTGATTGGCCATGCTGTGCGTGAATGCAATTGTAATTCAGTTCCAAGGTATTTGGCCTTCTTGTGGTATATCAACAACAAGAAAAACTGTATTGAATTGGAAGAATCACTTTGAAAAGCATAGACCATGTAGACGGCATTAATTTACATATTGCATGTAATGATTGCTGGTACATCAAGCACAGATGGTCCATGCAATTTTACTTCCTAAAATAACTGTTTAACATACGGTAAAAGAACCATATCATAATATAATCAAACATGCATTTTTTGGATCTGTAGCTATGTATTTAATACTTGTCAAGGTGAAATACATTTTTAGATGCTGCATTAAACATTGATAGTTCTCTTTATTTTGTCGGGCTAGATGTACAACCGCCAACTGCAAACGGGTAGTATTTTGGTTTATTTAGGAGCGTTTTCGAAATAAGTGGATTTGGCTTAGACTTCAGTTTCGCTGGTTCCAGTCAGAGTTTGAACTTGTGGTTTTGAACGTTGCTTCAAAATGGCTGGAACCAGCCTAACTAAAGTTTAAGCTGAATCCACTTATTTCGAAAACGCTCTTAGTTTAAAATGAGGATTTTCTGACCTAAATTTAGTACGTACCATACCACCAAGGGAAAAATATGTTTTATGCAGTATTGTTTTCCGTAAGCAGATTTCTTGTAGGTCAGAGTAAAGTGTGTTTTAGACTTTATCATATGGAATGATATGGGGCCCCTTTTAAGATAAGTACATGTAGAACAGTGGTTTGTTTTGTCTCTGGTTTTTGCTGCATAGTTTTAGAGAAGCACTGGTACAGGTGTGTCACAGGTGTTTGGTACAAAAGGTACGGAATCTCATAAATATTTTCTTAGTTTTTTAATCTAGTCTAATACTAAGCTTTGTACTTTGAAAGTTTGAATGCATGAGCTTAGACTGTGAATGTGCAACTTAAGCTACCAGCATCAACAGCATTTGTCATTCATTGACTGGCCATTCAAAAAGATAGAATTTAAACCTCATGAGATAGAGTTGCTTCTTAGCATATGTAGACTACACTTGCATTTACAAAGCTGAAAAAACCAGAAATGCTCATAATGTTACCTTTCCTTTGTTGTTCATTTTCTTATTGCCAAAATTCCCCAATGTACTCTACATTCCTTTGTTGACTTTTGTGTGTGTTTGTTGAGTGTGTGTGTGTTGAAAAGTAAATACATGTATATATTTTTCATATATGTATTTGACAAATTTGAGGTTTGTTTTATTAAAATGAAGTTTTCATGATGTTATACATACTTACATGTAGTATGGGAATGAATGAAAAACCTGTGTTAGCTCAACCTGTTGTGTGGGGTAACTGGGGTTAAATACAAAACAAAGTATGAATTCCTTTTTCTTGCACAAACTATAAAATAACATGACTAACTGCTAAGCTCAAAAATGTGAAATCAGCCACACTTTGAGTTAGAAAGTAAAATTGATGTGCATGTTTGTGGTTACAGTACCAAGGGCTACATCAAATCTGGTAATTAGTGAGTCAATTAGGTTTAGTTTGGTGGCTTACTGTACATTGTATTAGTAGTTTCCAGTTTTTAATGTAGGAGACGTTCAAAGCATGCTTGATATTGAATCTACACAATGTGAAAGAGTGTCATGTAGTTGAAATTATACCGAGGCGATATACATGTACACAGTAGAAATTCCTGTAATGGCCAAAATTGGACAGGTTTACGTGTACAGTGTATGTGATTTTAGTTTGCTATTGATTTTGTGACATTCGACTCCATGTTACTCTGTGTATAGATTTCTCCTGTTATATACGGTACACGTACATTGACATGTTCTGGTATATCTCATTTCTACATTTTGCAGTACTATATGTTACTTGTATTTGTTCATAAACACCAGTAAGTTGGTGACTCTTCATTTTGCTTTGGGTAAATCATCCAGTTTTTATGAAAGATTTTCTTCTATTGTGGGATTTTTCTCCAGTTCTCTGTCTCTGTGGATGGCAATCGGGTCATACAAATGGTTTTTATATTAGAGTCTTGAAATAGCCAGTATTTGACTGCAATTTTGACCACATACATGTCATCCACCATAGTTTGCTCTAATTCACATCTATCTACATGTAGATGTAACGTTTTGCACAGTTTGGGCCATTCAGAAGAGTAATGGTAAAAAGCTTCAGTTATATTGAGAAGTGTGACTTTTTGTATTCATGTCAGTTTGTGTTTAACCTGTTTGTAAATTTGTAAATAAGATCACAAATTTTTCCATTCAACCTTTTTGTATTGACAAATTATCAGTGCCATATTTTTTTGGTTATGTTTTGTATGTATATTAATAAGTCATCTCTCCCCGCCCCTCCATTTGAAGGCCACAGTAGTAACAGCCGTGAAAACTGCTGAAAATTAGTTTGGGCAAACACAGATTAGTTCAGCTAAAAAGTCAAGCAAAACCTGGTGTGATACTGGTATGGGCTGTATTATTGTAAGCTGGTGTTATAATGCGTGGAGGTTTTCTCCTGATTTTGTGCTATGAAACAGAAATTTGTTAATTTGATAGAATTTAATACCAACAGCTTGTCAAGTTAAATACATGTATTTATTGAAAAGTAGGATTATGTTTGCCTGGTTTGCTTACACTTTTGAAGAGCTGAATAACAGCCAGTTTTGGATTAGGTCCATTTTTTTTACACGGATGAGCGATAAATGAATGCAACGACAGAAAATGGTGCACTATGCAGAGTGATGCTTTACATATTTATAAATAAAGTGGAACCTGCTCTCTGTGTGAAGGATGAATTGAACATGTATGTCGGTCAGTGTGTGGCATCATACCCAACAAGATCGCTGATTGGTCAGAATGTACAATGCCCGTGTGACATCTTTGAAAAACTCCCCAGGTTTTTAATTACAGTGGTTCATTGTGCTATCAGTGGTTTGTTTGCTCTCAGTGTAAACAGTTGCATAGGAAACCACTGTTTTTATTTTTTTCTCATCTTAGAATATCCTTTATCACGCACTCTATTGGCCCTTTTACATTCAAAACAATTATACAGAAAGCACGTGTACATGTACTTTGAAGGTATAACCATCTGTCATGATGTTATTGTGATTGACGTGATAGGTATCTATCACATTGTGGAATTCCGGCATGAATGAGTCGGGCTACTATCATTGGTCCAAGTGTTCATGTAATGAACCATATACTGTGTACAGTTACACAACATATTTGTCAGAGTTTGCATTAATCTGTTTTGGAATCTGTGTGTGGTGCAGGGCTTGCTACCGTGGGCCATTCCTCCACCCAAAGGAAGCTCCCCCCCCCCAGTTTGTTTTAAGTAATGAAAGGCAATTTATTGGTCTGTTCCATTTTCTTTTCTTCCAAAGCAGGTTTAAAGCCCCCAAAATGTTGCCTCACCCCTCAGAAAGGCCATTGCAATTTTTTTGGCTACCAAACAAGTTTGCCCCCTGTCCAAAATATTGGTTCTGGATCCCTTGTTTGTGTGGCACTAGGCACCTAGCAGAATGTCATGTATCACCAGAGCCTTTCTTGTGGATTTGCTTTAAGTTGATCAGTTTTGATTCATTGGTGTTAATTTCCACAACTGAAAAATGGCTAGAATTTCACTTTCTTGCAAAATGTGTTGATAGACATTTTCTTTTGCTTTCAAAAGAAGATTTTTGAATAATTTTCATTGAGAACTTGCCCCAAAACGTAGAGGTAAAGGTTGAAGCAATGTTAAATCTGTTGGTTTCTTTATTATGCTTGTCATACCATTTAATTGATAATTATAATGTAATAATTATAGTTATACTTCCAATTTATTCACTTTAATTTTTGGAAATTGAGTTCATATTTATATCAATACCTTGATTTTGCTCAGCAAAAATTATTAGTACATGTATTAAAAATTAACACGCATGATGATATATATGTATGTCTAGTTTATATAGATTTAATTTAATTGATCTGAATGTGAATTTATGATTGATTTGACTTCAATTTCCAGTCAGCAGAAAATTGCAATTAAATCTTTGTATCTTTCTTTTTTGACTTTACATAATCCTGCACACATTAACACCTGCTGAAAAAGGAAGCCAAATTGGTAACCTTTGGCAGTTTGATACATATTGATGTACACTGTATATGCATACACATCGCCAGGCAAAATATCGGTAACACCTGTCAACTTCAACATTAGGTTCATGTTACTTACATTAAAACAATTTAATAGTTTAATTCCAAAATTGGGTAAAATTTAATGCCATTTCAACTACAGAATCATTCAAAACGGTCTGCTTTTTATATTTCAGTCATGTCGGGCCCATTGTCTTTAGTAAATTCTTTATAAGAGCCAGTTTAATAAATATTAACGAAACTAATGACATATGTATCTCATTTTGATAGGCTACACAATACTCGTGGAATTGTTAAAGAGATCAGTGTTGGATAAGCATTTTATTTTGAGATTTCCAGCTGCATAAGTTGTCTTGAAGTTAAAAAAGGGAATAAAAAACCATATTCCAGAACTGCTTACTGTGATAACTCGACTACATAAATTTCACAATGTGCTAATCTGACTGAGCAATAAAAACTAATTGATGTGTGGTTTGAGCAGAAAGTGTCATTGCCAGTTACTATGAAGTCCAAATTATAGTTTATATAACCAGCAGTCATGCTAGTTACCGGTTTGTGGAAATATTTGTGAAACATCTCATGCTCTTAAAAAGTTTACACTGGCACTAGAATTGAATATTTATACTTGCAAAATAATTATACACATTTATGTAGATTTGGTAAAAAATGCTAGCCTGGCTTTTTATGTGGAAGCACAGTTCACAATGTGTGTTCATACTAATGACAACTGATTAGTATCAATTCAAGGCAAGTTTATATTTAGCAGGTAGGTTTGGTCCTCTTGTCATCATTGTTCCAAATAAATTATAAACTGAATCATATCACTTAAACAGTTTTGTTCTTCTCACCATAGCAACACAACTGCTTGACAATTGCCATGGCAGCCATTACAGCACCAAATTTAACGGCTCCCATTGCGTAAAAAATACCAACACTGTCTGTTGGTAATTTGACCAGTTCAATGAGCTGTGCCAAGATCAAGCTGGTTAACAAAGCTGCAATTTTACGTCCACCACTGATAACTTCTTTGGTTGTAATGAACCATTCTGTTAAGGCCAAGAGTGTTAAGCTACCAAAGTCTCGTGCTATGGAGAACAGAGGTGTCGTATCTAGGTGAACCCACTCCTGACGTTCACACCACCTTAGGGCAAGGGTCATGGACCATGTAGGGTCAAAGTTCAGGGCCACCATGATTCCAGATTGGATAAGTGTGGCCATGACCACAAAGATGGCGAAAGCAAGATGAGTGGATGTTGAGAAACTTTCCACTTGGAGATTGGAGATTACAAGTCCAACTAGGAGACCTGAAATTCAGCAACAGATATGAAGACTCCTTCAACCTTTAAAAATGAATTCGAACTGTAAAGTCTTTAAATTTCAATATGGTATAGTGTGAGGCAACTTTGGTTACATGATCAAAAGAAGTAGCTCTTTCTTAAATGGCAAAGGAATATTCCTGTTTTGGGATTGGGAGACATACCAGTAGACTACATGTACACGTATCAACAACTGAAATACTTAGCTCTACACAAAAGTAACGGACTGTAGATCTTAAATGTCTGATCTTAAAGAATTTGTTTAAACATGTAAAAAATTTATGGCATACAACAAACTTGGCCCTACATTGCTAATGCTGGTTGATACTCAGTACAAAGCG